TAGTACCGGCCGCAGGCATCATTTGTGCTTGTCCTCTATCCTCTTCTGTATTAGTCATATACTGATCCATAGTACCCCGTGCACCTCTGTTATGTATAGTGGAGGAAGAGTCCTTTCCACTCTCGCTCCCAAAATAAGCGCCATGTTCGACCCTATCATCAAATTGCTCCTGTTGCAAGTGTTTTGCAGTGGTACTTTTCTTCATATAAGCAATAATTTCCTCCTTCACCTTTTTCGGCACATTTGCACACGGTGCTACATTTTTATGCGAGCATGATAAGTGTTCATTCGTGCGGGTAACACCTCCTTTCACCACTTGTTCGCAAAAATTGCATTTCAAATAAACATAGCTCTTCTCTCCGCCGCCTATGTCAACTTGTACACTATATTTCATAAAAGGGTCCCTCCGCAATGACGCAAACCCCTTTTCCTTGCCTCTAACCATGATCCCTAATGAAAGAATCCAAAATCACACAAAATAATCAAAAAATCAAAAACCCTAGAATTTCTTTCTTTTGAAAAATCTAACCAAAAACTAAAAAAATACCTAAAATCGTTTGAGAACTTCTCCTACAAGGCGGACGGACACTTCAAGATCGCTGGAGAGAGGCGGCGCAGGCGGGAGAGGCGGAGGGAAGGGAGGCCGACTGTGCGGGAGGGTCTCTGTTTAGCGACCTGGGGCTTGCGAGCGGAGAAAAACGCGAAATGCCTGGACCGATCGGGTATAAGGGAAAAAAATTGCTCATTTTAAGTTGGTGGGACCAATTGGATGAGGCGTACGCCTCACCCATAATTGTGCAATTGCGCAATTGAGGCGCGCCTCACACAGGGTGAGGCGTACGCCTCAAACATATCCCAAATTGCGTGCGCCTCGAGGCACTTTTGGCCAGAATTGCGCAGAGGCACGCCTCTTATTGTGCAATTTTAAACAGAGGTCATGCCCACCGTATCCGTCATTTCAACGAAACCGTTCTCAATGACTTCCCATGCATCTTGTGCACCCAACAATGCCTGCATCTGAATACTCTAATTATCATAATTTGTCTTCCTGAGTCATGGTAGTGGTATTTGCCCCATCGGAAAACTTCCAGAATTTGCCATGATGCTCTGATACCAAATTGTAAAAGAAACTAAAAAGAAAATTGGAAGAAGAAGAGAAATGGAAGAACACACAAAGCACAAAACTTTTTTCTTCTATATTATCTCATACTCACATTACAACTATTTTATTTAAATGAAACATCACTTCACAAACACCCTTTCACTTTCAAATGAAACATCATTTCACATACACCCTTTCACTTGCAATTAATTGCATTATTTAATTAAAGAAAATAAATCACATCCACACAAATAAAAAGTCACATCCATACAAAAAATATGGTTAAAGATTTTGAATTTATTAACAATAGCACTAAGACCCCAACAAGACATTTCACAGATAATCAATAGAGAGGTGAGAGTTGTGATGCTTTTAGGTTAGAGCACGCTTGGAAGTTCTTATGGCAAAAGCCACACTTATAAAAGGGAAAACTAAAGGGTGGAGAGATTCGTCATTTGGTACTTAGGCTTCGTTTGGGACGGCTTTCTTACTGCTTCTTAAAGCTTATTTTTAGTATAAAAATTTTAATTTTTATACTAAAATGCTGCTTTAAGAAGCAGTAAGAAAGCGTTCCCAAACGAAGCCTTAAGCAGCAACCAAATAAGCCCTAAAGCTAAAAAGAGAAAAAAATGACTAGTGTTGGCTTAAACAGCTAGGCAGAAACCAAAAGTGGAGATCAAGCCAGATGGAGTAATGAAGTTCATCACATAGCTAGATGTGTTGCTCTAAGACTACCGTCTAATAGCGTTGATGCCATCTAAGGGTCAAATCATATATAAAAATACAAGTTTCTACACAAACGCCAATATATAAAAATACAACAGTAGAACATAAAATTGAATAACAAATACATTAATGCTGCATGTGATGAGGACATTAGAGATCAACGACTACGATCTTGAGTTATTTATTTATATGTTTTATGTACTAGTTTGTTTTATATTGTTGTTTTTCCCTTTATACCCTTACGGGTGGTCATATAGTGTTGTAGCCCGAAGGGCATTTTAGTCTTTTATTTCTTTTCTTTGCATGAAGCCTATTTATAGGCTAGTTGTTTTATATTTTGGGATGATAAATAAGTATTGATGAAAATTTCAGCTTTTATCTTCTTCAATGTGTGAATTTTGAGAGAAGAAAGAGAGCCCTAGGTGAAGGCGAATGCAATACCCGTAAATCTTTGGAAGAGTCCGAGACTCGCGGTTCGTTTATTTCTTCTTCCTTCTTTTCACCTCTATCCCCTTCCCCATTTCCCTACACCCGCCGGCTCCACCTCCCCAAATTCCCCACCCGCCGACCTCCTCCACCCAAAGCCTCCTAGCTGCCGGCCACTTCAACCTTCCTATCCGTCGATTCCTTCACCCACCCCCTTCCCCACACCCCGCCGCCTACCACCCATCTTCCAAGCCGCCGGAAATTCCCCAGCCTCTCCCCAACCGCCGGCACCCCAACTTCCCCACCCACCGTCCCCTAGGCACCACCAAAACCAGTTTCCACATAGCTTCCAAAATCTAAATTCAATTCCATCATAAAATCTTTCCTAATTTAGCCCACCAAATTAGGGGGAGATTTAAAATTCAAATATTTGAATTTAAATCCTCTCTTAAATGATCCCCCTCTAATTTAGGAGAGGTCCTCAATCAACATAACTCTGAAATTAATTTCAAATTTATGTCCCCAATCACCTTAATTGCTTGGGCCCACCTCCATAATCTTAAATGATCCAACCCCTCTCTCTTCCTCTCTCCTTGGCCGGCCACCCATATCCCCCATTTAATTAATTAGATCCCACAAATTAAGGATCTAATTAATTCAATCCCCTCCCCACTTTCCCTCCTAAACTCCACACATTTCAAATTCAAATGTCTAAATCAATTGCTCCATAATTACTCCCTAAATCTGAAATTAATTTCAGATTTCCCCCTATGCTCCTCCTCAAATAAATTCTTTCCAAACCTGAACCGAAATCAAAGGGAATTTACTCCAGGCTCCCTCCATTGTTGGCCACACAATTCTCCACCTTATCCCACTAACTCTCATGTGGCTAGAAAGCGGAAACTCCTGAAATTCGCTGTTCGATTTGCTGCCCAGATTGTTTGGAAGCTGCTGGGTTGCTGTCCAGATGTCAGGGACAGCCCAGTTGTCTGCTCATAAGCTTCCAGGAGAAAAATAGCCCGCTGCCCTGATGCCCAAAGCAAGCTAGCTCGTTGTCTAGCCGTCCAAAATATGTCCTAGTTGTTGTCCTGAGGAGATCTAGTGCTGTCTAGCTGCCCGGAGGAGTCCCACAACTGCCTAAAGGTTCCCAAAATTAGAGAGCTGTTGTCCAGTAATTTCAGCCAACGTCTAGCTTCATATCTCCTACTACTTTGGGTAAACTCTTCTCCCGACTCTTTTATCTTTGTAGTACTTCTCAATTGTGGTCTTAGTAGATTCATGACGATAACGTTAATGCTTCTCCGCTAAAGCCTAGTAATTATAAGAGTTGAGTGAGGGATCTCTTTGTAGTAACTAATCTTATTGTTAACATTGGGATTTATGGTTGAAAACCAATCATGTATGCAACGTTAGATTAACTTGATTATTTTCTGATCTCAACTTTTACGCGTGTGATTCAGCCTAAGCTTTTCTTACCGCTCTTTGTGTTTTATTGCGTCGTTTAAATTCACCATTAAGATATAATTATTTGTTCTAGGAATATTAAGTGTGCAAATTCCTTAAAGTAATTCATCTTCGCATGTTCGTTCTACATCATAAATTAACCATTAAGATATAATTATTTGTTCTAGGAATATTAAGTGTGCAAATTCCTTAAAGTAATTCATCTTCGCATGTTCGTTCTACATCAGCATGAATATTCAGTACATAACTAGTTTCCATGGGTTTGAGAAGAGTACCAAAATCCAAAAATAATTTCCTCCATGCTCCAGCAGGACAAAATAAAGTGTATTGCCTAATGCTTGAGAGATCCCCGTATCACAGAAATGACTCATAAAATAGTTGGTAGATTATCTTCACGATCGGAGAAATCCAAGTTCACAGCTACCCATGCACTATCACTAAATGGCATTAGGGTAGCTCCAGCAGGCAAAACCATGTCAGGTTTGCGAGGATACACCAAAACTCTGTTACAAAGCAAAGAGGGAGAATCAGCAATCTTGAGGACATCAGCATCTTTGCTTTCTTCAGTGGAAACATCTTTGCTTTCTTCTTGTTTGGTCTTTCCATCAAAATCAAGCTTCGAAAAAGGGAAGTTTATCTGATCAACATGGTCGTTGGAAAAGATTTCATCATGACGATTATTCACATTCACAACTGCAGTTTTATTCTTAGCTGTACTTCCACTAGAATCCAGCTTCAGATTAGAGAGGTCGAGTTTATCAGCATAGTCAAAGGGAAGGATGACATCATTAGGTTCATTCATAATTATACTCGTATTGGTCAAAAGTTTGTGATATGTTGTATTCACGACAACTTCATTATCTTCAAATTTGCCTGAGACAATAGACAAAAGCTGAAATAAATTTCAGAAAATGCTACTCAACTGAGAAATTGAATACACAAACTGCATAAAATACTAATATGAGGATGCTACTACCATTTGCTTGCCTCTCTTCTTTTATCTTCATATTTGAGATTGGAACTGACAGATCTTTTTGCTGCTCCAAGAGATTGGTATCTATTGAACGATTTTTGAAAAAGTAAGATAACTCCCATTCCATGCACATCTTCAAGTCAAATAAAAAAATGAATTACTCACCACCTTTAACTTGATGATCTTCCTTAATCTTCAGAGTTGAGGTTGGAATTGAAGTAAGACACGGTTGATTTATCACATTGACGCCTACCAATTGATTTGCACGAGAAAAAGGAGAATCATTATGATTTACTTGGTAATTCAGGGAAAGGCCAGTGACAGGCTTGGTTACTTTTTCCAGGCAAGCATCATTTCCTGAATATTTAATTTCTAATTTAGAATTGCAGTAAATAACTGATTTCAAATCAATTAGATGGAAAATTTTAAATCATGGACTTAAGCTTTTAACACATAGCTTATAAACTAACCTTCAGCAATCTGATTCCTTTCCTTAGTCAGTATGGATAAGGGTCGTGCAGTATGAATTTTTGGCTGTTTCAGGTTATTATTCGCTTTTCCACGAGTCACTTCCATAGAATGGGCGTTAATTCCTAACACAAAAATACAATCCAGTCAGTAATAAGAAAACAATATTTCTTACGTTAAGTACACGACTAATGTGTATTACAATAGATGCAAGTACTTCTAAACTGCAAATGATTCAAAAACCTGGTGTAACAATCAAAGAAATTAAATCATATATACGTATGGTTACAGTACAGCGATATGGACATGATACAATACAATAGAGAAAAAAAAAGGTTCAAATACAACTAATACTACAGCTAGCATCAGCATTTTTTTTTTTTTTTTTTTTGACAAGTAGTTTGGTACATTTGGTATAATTCACCTTAGAAGCAAAGATCCGCTGATTTAATTCCAGCACATTTACTATGATATTCTTTTTAAACAAATGCTATTGAATCATAAATCATAATTACACAAAGCTCATTCAAGGGGCAATTAAATACTAACATGATTTTATAAAAAATTTCACTCAATGTGATTTGATGATAATAAATCTAATGTGGGGGTATCTGATGATTTTTGTAAATAATTTTTATAGGTAAATTAATTAAAGGGCAACCATAGTTATAATGATTGGTTCTACCAAAACTAATTTGGAAAACTTGCTATTTCAAGAGCTCAAAGTGTTCAATACAAGAATATTTAAGTACAAAATCATGGGTTCAAGGTTAATTAATCTACCGAGTGTGTTTAGGATATTATTCATTATAAAATAATTGTGTACGATTTTGGGAATTTGTTTTCAATTTATTTAATTTATTGATATATGATTTGCATAAATTATAAGAATTAATAATCACTCATCATGAAATTCATTGCTAATATTATTTATTTGAGCTTGTTACATAATTTTATTATTAAATTTTCCTTATATGTCTACCATTATGTAAGTTTAATTAACTTATACATAATGAATTATTTGATAAGTCTCGACTTTTTATTGTTACTTGAAATAGTTTTAGTATCTTATCATCATATTTTGAACACGAAAAAATTATATATTTCTTGGAGCTCATATGATAAATTTAAAAATTAATAGTCATTATGCATTAATTAGAATTAATTAAATAGATATGTTAGATTTAATGAACCTGAGCTTAATTCTTATTTCATTGGATTCGTGGAGTTGTGTGCATACGACATGATATATTATATAATATAGTTTCAAGTAAAATTGAATTTGTTATAATTTTATAAAATGTTAGTTGTTTCCTTGTGAAAACCAAACAACATGAGCACTAGGCCATTGTGATCATCTAGGAAGCACAGATCAGACCAATTGGGCCCAATAACGGCTAGTTTTTCTAGCCGTTGGAGGCTGTTTTTAGAAGGTTTCTCGTAGTTTTTAAATGCTTTCTTCAAGAGATTTTTCCTTTTTTCCTAAGGCAATAAATATCACTTATATTAAAATGAAATCTAATGATGTGATTTCTAAGAGCTTTATTATAAGATCAAATCAAAGGGTTTTCTAGAAGAAAAATTAAGTTCCAATGTCCCAAAAAAAAAATTAAGTTCCATCCTAAAATTTATCCTTAAAAACTTCCTTTTTGAGTAATATCTGCATTAGTCTCTTTAGCAACTAGTGTAAAGTATTTGTAATTATTTCATGAAAATTTGTGCTGTATCTAGATTAGTTGGTGATTGCCTTTATTCGACACCAATGTTCAAGTGCACTTCAATTAGATATTTTCTTATAATATTATATGTACCAAATCTTAGAGGACTAGAAGAAACTTTAGGTCATTAAGCTTGCGTTGAAGTGCTCTTGTAAAAATAAGAAGTGGGTTAAACCTACCATTAAAGAAAAGTGTGCCTATGATGGTTTCTCTACCTGCTCGAGGAGAAAAAGAGTGTTCTAGAGTGCCTATGATGGTTTCTCTGACTGCTCGAGGAGAAAAAGAGTATTCTAGTGGCAGGTATTGGAATCCCAATCTGCTGAGGGATTAGGCATGGATACAAGCATGTTAGGTGTTGAATCACATAAAAATACACATATCCAAATTATTTTCTAGCTTAGCATACTTAAATTATACATTTGTTTATTCTTGCTTGGCTAAATGTGAGTTTGGTGATTGATACTGTTAAAATTCCAGCCGTCCCTTGAAACTTGATCCCATGGCTAGGATGGGAATCCGTATGAGGCTCATCTGGATCATGCTAGTCTCTGTTAAATCCCAGGCACCCCTTAACACTTGATCTCATGGCCAGGATGGGAATCCGTTGGAGGCTCACCAAGATCGCACAGATCTACTTCCATATTTGGGTTGTTGGTTTAGAAAGAAGTATATTAAGGCAATTATGCATGTTTCTATAGTTATTTGTTTCTTTGCTAAGACATCTTGTATAGATATATAAATAGGAATAGTTTTGTGTACTAAAATTAAGTCGTTTCTATCTCCAATTCTCTGATTTAACATGGTATAAGAGCCTTCATTGCCTTGGCCGGAATTCAAGAGTTTTTTTATTGCTAGACTTTTCCCTTCTGAAACGTCTAGTGCGTCTAGTCTGGAGGAGTGGAGCAAGAACTTAGTGGTCTCTGCGTTCGATCAAGAGAGATGAACATCTCATAAACCGCTCTCACATGCGTGCCACCAAACACGATGAGTGGTGTGTGGCCAAAAGACTCTGTGCGTTTGCCTGGGAGCTGATTGAGCGAGATTGCGCTCACCGTTGCGTGTGATCAAAGATGAACAATTCTTGCATTCTGCTTCCAACTTGAATACTTCCAGAGCAACCGAGCAAGCGAGAAGGCTACTCCTTTCAACTTTCTGCATGTGGCTAGAGAAGGCACGCGAGCCCCCTCTCATGCGTGTCTACCTAGTGCTCAAACCGATGAAGAAGAGGATCAAGAGAGGGAGCAAACAGAAACTACGTTCAGGTGCAGCGTGTGTGCCTGAGCCGGGATGACCGACCCTCATGCTTGTGCTGGAGCCAAACCAAGCAAGGAACGAGCTGTTGAAGAGTTGTTGTGCATGAGATCTAACCAGGTCAAATAGACCTGGGAGCCTCTTGAGCACGTGTTTGTTCTCGATTTCGTGGATTTCAAAGTATAATTAATCAGCTTTCCTGTTGTCCGATCAACAACCTTCATTGCCAGAATTCTAAGGAATACATGTTCCTACCATTGGCCTTCATTACTGGAATTATGAGAAATATAAGTTATTACCACTAGCCTTCATTGCTAGAATTATAAAGAATACAGGTTCCCACCACCAGCCTTCATTGCAGAAATTCCTAGGAAAACAAGTTCCAACACTGGCCTTCATTGCTAGAATTCTGAGAAATACATGTTCCCACCACTGAAATTCATTGCCATAATTCTGAGGAATACTGGTCCTACTTCTGTCATGCATCCAAAATCGAGGAGAGATCGAGTGGGAGAGCTCCTCTTGCATACGTCTAAAAAGAGCATAGGGTTCCCTCTCGTGTGAGTCTAAGGCCAGGACAAGCAAGAGTACGAGACCTGCACTCCTTCATATCAGACCAGAAGGATCAGAGGCCTTGCGTGCGCATGTACCAGGTCGATCAAACAGGAGTGTTTGAGTGGAGTTGGACGACTAATTTACATTAGGCTGAAGGCTGGCCCAATAGGACGGGAGGAGATTTGCATGGCAAGTGCTGAGCCATTTGAGACATTTTTTTCGCTTTTGTCCTTGAAGCTTGCCGCAACCCTAAAAATAGTTTTGTTTCCCTGTTGTCATGCTTTCATTGCCGGCCTTCTCTTGTGGTTGATATCCTATCTATAACCAATGCAGCCTTCATAGTTGTCTTGCTTAATATAGTCTTCATTGCTACCCTTTGCCATCACAATGTCTGAAGATAATTTCTTCCAAAGTTTTGACAAAATGTAGAGCTCTATGGTACACCAAGGGACTTGATACTTTTTTGTGACTAATTACCAAGCTATGAATTATATATCTATATTCCCCGACTTATGGAGTGTTAAAATCCCAGCCATCCCTTGACACTTAATCCCATGGCTAGGATGGGAATCTGTGAGAGGCTCATATGGATCATCCTAATCTCTGTTAAATCCCAGGCACCCCTTAACACTTGATCCCACATACAAGATAGGAATCCGTGGGAGGCTCACTAGGATCACGCCGATCTCCTTCCATATTTGGGTGGCTGGTTTAGGAAGTATTATATTAAGGCAATTATGTGTGTTTCTGTAATTATTTGTTTCTCTATTAAGACATCTTGTATGGATATATAAATAGAGATAATTTTGTGTAATAACATTAAGCCTTTTCCTCTCCAATTCTCTGAATTTAACATATACCATAAATGCTTTTCTTCTCTTTTTGAAAAATTAATCGTATCTATTGTGCCTAAAGGTGTACCCTCTCACATCTTGGATAGATCATTACACATCAACATCTTGAGAACACTAGAGTGGTGGCTTTTTAATTGTTGAATCAAGAACACTAGGGTGGTGACTTGCTAATTGTTGAATCAAGATATAATAAGCTTGTGTAGTAGTGTTAATCCATCTATATTGAACTTGCCAATTATAACACAAGCACAATTAACTTAACCTTATATTCAACACCATTGTTGACTCCTGTGTTTTTTATTGTAAGTTAAGTTTGTTACACCAGATCTTATGCTAATTAAGTGAAACATAGATTAAAGTACTTATTATTTATTTACTATTTTACTCACATTAGCATAATCAATCGAGTAAAAGCTCAAAATAATTCATGACTGTTATAAATATTCAATTTAGTCCCTCAACTATTAAATATTATCCAATTTGGTCTCTATGTTAAAATTTCTGTTTAAATTAACAAAATAAGCCGCAAGCATTTACTTTTTTGCAGGTATTTTAATAAAAAATACTTCTTAACTAATCGTTGGCCTTCTCGTTATAATTCCTGTAGTGAAACTGGAGACCGAATTGTACGAGGGAGAACACCTGCACCTGCAAGCAAGGTGTCATGCTTCGAAGCTCTGCGAGTGAGACACAAAAGGTCGTGCTACGACCACAAGTGATGTGAGACGCGCGCTACTGCGAGCAACCATGAGTGACGCGAGAGGCCATGTTGCTGCGAGCGACCTCGAGTGACACGAGAGGCCGAGAGATCACGATGTGCTTTGACATCCAGGGGCAAAAGGAATTGAGCAAAGTGCGACATTCACAAGGAGACAGGGATAGGTTTGCTTATCAATTACTTAGAAAATAATTTAGATTTTCCTATATCGAGATTTTGAAGAAATTTTTGAAGGTTGTGACTTGTAAATTCACCGCCTCCATCAAAGTGAAAAGTTTTGATTTGAGTGTTAAACAAATTTTGAACCATTTTGGTGAATTGTAATAGTTTGAATAGTACTTCATCCTTAGTATGCATTAGAAATAACCGATAAAATATGGAATAATCGTCTATAAAGACAGCATAGTAGCAATGGCCATTAAGGGATGAAATCGGGGCCGAGCCGCAAACATCTGAGTGAATGGAGTAGTAACATAATTTTTGCTTGTATGAAAGGGTAACCTGTGGGTTTTTTGCCACATTACATGATTTGCATAAAAAAAGAGGCAAGGAAGTACATATAGATGGAATGGTTTTTGCTAAACAAGTTAGAACAAGTTTATTTGGGTGGCCTAGGCGAGCATGCCAGAGTGAATTGGAGGTAAGCTTGGAGTGAAGCGCAGTCGAAGATGACGTGGTGTTGGTGAGAACGAGATAGAGAACATTACAGTTGTGGCCACAAAGGAGAAATTGGTTGTCCAATAGATCCTTGATGGTGAATCCACTTGCATCAAAGGAGATAAAACAGTTATTGTCATATGTAAGTTTGTGTATTGAAAAAAGATTGTTAGATAGAGAGGGGGCATGAAAAGATTTTGAAGGAGTAATTTACAATTGGTATTTGGTAGAAGCAATACACCATGGCCACGGTGGTGAATGGGAAAGGAGCTGTCGTTTGCAATGAAAATGGAATAACACCTTGATATGGGATGGATTGTTGAAGATTGTTGGCATTAGCAGTCAGGTGTGCAGAGGCGCGGAGTCTAATAACCATTCAGTGGGTAAATTGGATTGTTGTTGAGTGAGTAATGTGCGAGGTGACCATGGTGTGGTGGGCGCATATTGAAGGTTGCATTTGTGCCAGCAGGAGAGGGAAGTATGATCAGGTTTGTTGCAGATTTGGCAGACAGGTCATGGATTGAGAGGAGCTGGGGAGATTGGTTGGTGATGGAAGGTGGTCTGGTGGAAGCCCCAAGACCACAGGTGGAACACGACTGATAGAAGAGGTTGGTTCTTCCACGAGGTGAGCTATTTCTGTTTGAATACAGGGCGAGATTGTCATGAGAGGTGGTCGTGTCTTTGAGCAGCTCGTTTTGTAAGTTAATCTCCTCACTACATAAGAGAGATTAAAGGACGTCGAGGCTGATGGGGTGAAGAGTGGTCCGAATGGAGGTCTTAAAGGAGTTGTAGGTAGAGGATAAGCCATTGATGATATAGAGAATAATATCCTCATAATCAATGTGAGAATCGGCAATGTTTACTGGAGCTTTGATTTGAGTAAAATATTGATTCATAGTTTGGTTTCTTATTTGGATGTGGTGGAGTTCATTCTTAAGCTAAATGACTCGAGATCTGTTGGTGGGTTAGAGGAATAGCTTGAGTGTATTCCAGATTTTGTGAGCCATGGTGAGATTGAGAATGTAGGGAAGGATCGAAGGAGAAATAGTGGAGAAGAGGGCTGACACCAAATTTTGATCTATGAGATGCCATGACGGTAATCTGTGTTTGAAGAGTTCAGGGCCATTATGGGAGGACATGCTAACGGCCTGTGAGGTATCCGTTTAACCTGTTTGCTAAAAAGAGCTTGTAAATCTAAAGTTTCCAGAGATTGACTCATTGTTGAGCTGGATGTTGACAATTAATTTGAGATTTGACATGAGAAACTTGAGAGGGGAAGGGATGGTGAATTCTGCCATAGAGGTAGTGAGTCATGATATTCAGTAGTTGAGGAGAAATCTTGGTTTGCCATTGTACGCAGAGAAGAGGAAGAGGCGGTGAAGCTCAAAGCTCTGATACCATGAGGAAGACCTGTCAAGAAATGTAGAACTAAGAAGAGCATAACAACAATAATATTTCTGGTTTAGAATTTCATATATTCATCATCTTACTGTTTCTATTACCGAGTTTTTAAATAGTGTGAAGATGAGAGACAAGTTTGTTAAAAATGCTGGCTAGGCAATCGTCGGTAGCAGACTGTATTCTAGGCAAAGTGGAGCAATAGATGTCGTTGAGGTAATGAGTGCTAGGTAGTCCAAGCTGAGTTGAGTCGTTGGTATTGGCTTTGATTCATGTGTGCTAACACAAATTATTCCATCAATGCTAAAAAAATCGTCAACATTAATAGCATTTTGAGGTCATTGTCCACTACTTCATGTGGAGATGTCCTTTTCTAAGAAGCCATGTTATGCGCCTTGTTTCTTGATGCAACCAAATAAAACATAAATATAAACACAAGATCACAACTTAAAAGACGCTTCTATAGGTAAACACTAAACATGACACATCGGCGCAACTACACCCTTCAACTTATAAAACTTTCGAGAAGAAAGATACAAATGAGGCGGAACTGCGGATAGAGAAGAAGAGATAGAAGACCGAGACGAAATAATAGAGGGGAAGGGAAAAAAAGGCTAGCTCGCAAGCTAGAGAAAACCTGCAGGTTTTACATTTCACAAATTATCATCCAAAAACTTCTTTTTTCAGCAGAAAAATAACCACTATATATAGGGAAATAAAATAGAAGAGTAATAAATGTAGGAAAACAACCACTATAGCCATGAATTATAAACAAGTAATGCAAATATTCATATAAAAATCGTAAAACATAACATCTCTGCACGGTTTAATAGTTTGGAAGGTAAACTATATTGCAATATCATATCATGAAATCAAGAATATAGCATATGAAAACTAATCTCACTAAACCCGCTTAAAATGCTCAAAAAGTAAAACTCGCTCGAAATTTGACTCCTCTCAAGTCAATTTTAAAAGCTTAACTCCAAACTAAAAATCTATTTCAAGTTTCCTAAGACTTGCTCGATATAATTTGAGTAAGCTTGAATCAAATATTTATATAAAATTTCTAATGTATATAATAAAATGATGTGTATAACATAGTATAAAATTTATATTTATGTATATACTTAATTAAAAATTAATTTTGAGTCAACTTGAAATTGATTCATCTTTAATAAAGTCAGCTCCAATCGAATATTAATTTTTTTATTTCAACATAAGTTCAACCTAACTTGGTCGAAGTAGAATTTTTGTCAACTCTAAATCTCACTATCTCAAAGCAATCAAAGTTAAACAGAAAACATAAATGGAAACCTAACTCACGTCCTTTAAGATGATTCAAGGCAACTTTGGCAGCATTCATCTCTGCCTGTTTTTTTGTCCTTGCAACATCTCCTACGAAACTTTCACCATCTACTACTACAGTGCTTGTGAACACAGGCATATGAGATTCACCATCACACTGCGTATTATATATTGGCAAAGATCGACCTTCTTTCTGAACCAATTGTTGTAAAAGATTCTTGTAAAAATTTGGTTCATCCTGAAAAATAAGAATCAGGTAAAAGTTGAAATTATGAAGTTGTCAAACGTAGAGCATCTTGTCAATCACAAGGATACATTATAGTTAACTTGCCTGACGATTCTCTTCAAGAGGCAAAGACGTTAAAGCAACCCTTGCAGCAGAATGTTCAGCTTCTCTTAACGTGCTGAAGTACTGTGAACTCTCAAATGTTTGTCCATTAATTGTAACCCTTGCCTTAAATCGAAGTGCATGAGCAGAACCCTCGCGAACTGAGTCATATTTTAGCACACCAATATTTCTCTTTTGTGCATAATGTTGTAGCTGACTCTTATATGAAAATTGGGCATCTATAAAAATATTAAGAAGTCAATAATCAACAAAAACGAAAACAACTCAACAATTTCTCTCTTTAATTGAAAAGTTATAAAAAACAGAGCTTTAAAATTTAAAATAAATTTAATACACGTACTCTTTAACTAAATACAGGACGCAGATCCAGAACTCCTTGTTTGGATGATAGATCCTAACCAAAAAGAGTTTTCAGTTTTGAAGGGAAGATTAATATCTTCATTCTAAGAAGTTGAAAGATGACAATGCTTCCTGAAACTTGTCATAGGAGATTTCAATCTGTAGAACGATAGGAAATACAGGTGGAGAAACATGTCTTAACAATTGCCTATAAATTACCTATTCACAAGTTGTGCCAGTCATCAATTTGTCACTATGCACTTTAAAATCTATGCCTGAAATTTTTTTCTTAAATGTGTAATGAATGTTACATTATTTTCTTTGGAATTAATATATGAAGCCCTTCTATTAAAAATTCTAAGTTAACCAAAAGTAGGGAAAAATATTAAAAATTGTAGTCATATGGTAATAAAAAGAAACACTACCTAACATGGTAAGAAATCTCATACAAATTAATGGACGGAAACTGTCATTCTAGAGGATGTGCAGAGACCAAAATAAAAAAATAAAAAAAGGAAAAACTCTAAGACTCATTTGATTGCTTTAAGTTAAAAAATATGTTTTGAAACACTGAAATTTAGTAAATCCATCATATATTGGATATAGTTAGAAGTCAGCACAGTTCCATTAACTGACTGAATTAACAATGAAAATGGATTTCAATAATCAATCATCAGATTTCCATTTCCATGTTCCTCCATATAAATTTCATCACCAAGATTTAAGAAGAAAAACTACAGGCTAATGTAGAAAGGGAGTCAATCCACCAAACTTTAGAATGGTAAGAAGGGTGAAGAGAAAGTGTTAAACACCTACAGGCTCTTCAAACCCTCCAACTATAACTACTATTTACTTGATTTTCAAATGATAACAATAACCTTTGTCACAATATTGACACATACTTCATTTTCAAATGGATTAGCCAAAACTTAACTCCTATTGTTAGTGGTTGTACATGGAACTTGGAGGTGCAATGAGGAGATTCAGGAACAAAATACCTAGCTTGAAAATTATAAGAGGTGCTACACAAGGATTACAAGGAAAGCAGTTCAAGTCCAGAAAAAAATCAATAAAACGAGGTGGTTAAGAAAAAAAATACAAATTTACAGAAAATAAATCAAAATTTTTCAAAGTCTCTAACAGGTGCCCCAGGATCAAATTATCCTAGAATGACGAAAGATAAACAAAATGGCAGGTAGGCGCAACTTAAGTACTAGCAATTATAGTACTAGCAATTATCCGAGACGGATGAAAAAAAAGATGGCATGTAGCCAACTTCCGAATTAGCACACTGAACAAGAACCATATCACATAATATCATACTTAGAATCAATATGTTTTACAAACGTAAAGAACAGCTAGGGAAACATTCTTATTTACCTTTTTTCAAATAAATGCATTACAGAAAAAAATAAAAATAAAAACCTACATTTTACTTTTTCAAATGAAAGGTTAAAGCAATCCCATAAAAAGGCATTTTTCCTTTAAACCTCTCATCGGGCGCATTCTCTAGATTCCGCTAGCTAAACTCTACATTTTACTAACCCAAACATAAATACCAAAAAGCACATTAAAAACCTGATTCAGATTTCCTACATGAAAATGAAAGCAATGAAAATGCCATGGCGCTGGATCACTACTGATTGTTCTCTTGTTCCTTGCCCCCAATAATTACCGATAACATTCTTAAAATATGAGTACAAACGAGAATAAAATCAAGAAACTTTTTGCGAATCGGAAGCAATAACAGGTCGAAAATGGACAAAAATGCTAATATTCTTAAATGGGAAGAGGAAAGAGTGGCGGGCGACTCACTGGCGGCCGGAGGCGGATCATCTCCAGCTGCCTGGGCGGGAGTAACGGAGGCGAGGGGAATGGCGGAAAGGTAGTCTAGGGCTACTTCGGCGGCCTTGTTTTGAGCCTCTTTGACAGATTTGGAGAGGTTTGGGGCGTCGAAGGTTTGTCCATTAACGACGACGGAGGCACCGAATATGGGATTGTGATCGGGACCATCGCGGGTATTTGTGTAAGCGGGCAACGTCCACATTCGCTTGTGGCAAAGCTCCTGCAATCTATTTTTATGCATCTTCAAATCACTTGCAGAACCTGGATGGCCTGAGCAGAACACAGATAATGAAAGCAAAGCGTATATAAATAGCGAGAGAAAACCTTTGAGAGTTTTTATTTCATGTTATGATAATTTAATAAATAATAATATTATTAAAAATTATAAAATGAATAAAAAAATTTTCTAATAACTTTTAATTATGCATATAATATGAAGTAAATAAGTAAAATATTATAGCAAGATTATAATACTTTACACCAACTGATAAGAAAAAAGACAACCCATTCATAAAACATAAATGAAGTTAATACTTAATAATGTCTCTTTTATAGTTTAATAGTTTTAATAATTTCATAAAAAGAAAAATCAAATATCTCCTAATTTGCATCATGAAAACTATCCTCATAAGTTGAGTTTTCTAATTCTGCTTCAATAAAATAGGCAACCACAAATGCACCTAAATCATTAAAGTCAATTATGTCATCTACAGCTCTTTCATTATCTACTTCACCTTCATCAATAAATTAAAATTTATTTTTTTATTTTATTTAAATGATATATTCATATCTCACCTAATTTATCATGTGTAGGCCAAGTGGATGATATGTTTACTTCTTCAACAACTGACATTGCATCTTTTTGGTATATCTCAATTTTTAATTCCTCTAAGTCAAGATCTGCTAGTGATTCATCATCAAGCACCCAAAAATCTACCATTTCAACACAAGTGTAGTTCATAGAGTCATAGCTTTTTTTTAAGTTGAAACATAAAGAATGAAATAATAATTTTAGTAACATTTGTAGATACATATAGTATGATATATTGACACATAACATATTATGTTATGATAAGATTATACCTATTTTTTAATTTAGATTATATTGAATATATACTAGGTCGTTCAATCATTGATGCTCCAAATGATTGCATCTCTTTGAGTGAATTTTCTCAAAAACACTTCAATTTTTTTCACAACCTGGTGATGATGATGATATTTCACTTAGAATTTTTATGAGTATTTTATACAAGTTAGGAGCACTTAATCCAAACATTTTCAATCACTCGTCTAAATAATATGATATTAGAAAGCTTAATAAGTATGCATATATAATATTTATATATATAATATATGTTAAAAAAGGTATAAGCATTGACATTGAAAAGATAATTACCGGGTTGCATTTCCTTTGTTATCATTAGAGTAATTATTTTTCCAAAACTTTCTAAGTCATCACGAAATAATTTGACCTCATTCATTACAAGTATGGACTTAGGACAAATGTCCTTATTTCCAAGTAGTTCAACAAGGTCTTGCATAACTTATGGCTTGTGAAAGTAATTGTCCTTATCATACTGAAATTGAGGATTCAGAAAATATGCTGCTCCATGGATGTCCTTGTTGAAACTTGTTAAATATGTATTAGGTTATTAGACCTAAACTTATGTCCCAACGGCTAACCAAGAGGGGGGTGAATTAGTAATTTAAAAATTTACCTCTTTTTAAACCGATTAAAATTTTGTGAAATTTTAAAATAATTTTTCATCCACAGATAAACAAAACAGTAAAGTAAAGCAGCGAAAAATAAAAGATACAAGATTTATAGTGGTTCGATCAAACACGACCTACATCCACTACCTGAAGTCTCTCACTTCATGTATTACACTATTACCACAAGTGTCTCTACTTTTTCCCCCACAACAAGGCGGAGAAACCTTCACAAAAATTCTCTTCCACCACTATCCGGTGCGGCAGAGAACCATCATCCTTTTACACCCTCCAAGTGTTGGCAGAGAATCTTCATCCTTTTACACCCTCCAAGTATTGGTAGAGAACCGTCGTCCTTTTACACCCTCCAAGTAATGGTAGAGAACCGTCGTCTTTTTACACCATTCAAGTGTTGGCAGAGAACCGTCATCCTTTTACACTTCTTCAAGTGTAGGCAAAGAACCTTCAGCCTGTTCACACTCCTCGAGTGTTGATAGAGAACTGGATCTCCTTGAAAGATCTTCTAATGAGAATTCTAGAAGGACAAGAGAAAAGAGTGAAGTAATCACAATTTTACAAATGGAGATTCTTACCTTTGAGTACCCAAGTGAATCCTTCATGCTCTAGTAGTAAGAAATCTCCTCCAAACACACTCTCTCTCTCACTCTCTCCTTCAATCTCCCTTCAATATGCACGAAGACCAATAGACAAAAAGATTGCATGATAGTCTTAAGTGGACCTTTTATATGAAAGACACGAAAAACCGTCCAAAAACTGCAATTATTCAAATCTGTGCGTTCATGATCATCCCGTATAATCCAATTTCGTACATATGAATAGTATAAAAATTGTTGCGTATGATCTCAATATACATGGGTACGAACTGCCTTTGTACCCAATCATCGTCCCATACGATTATGGTTCGTCCGGTACGAACTGTTATTTCCAAGGTTTGTTGGGATGAAAAAGCAGGATGGATCACAAGTTCAAAGAACAGAGAACATCGTCTGGGGACGAAGGGGTCATTTCGTCTGGACAAATTGTTCAAAATGAGAGTTCAGAGGAGATCGTCTAGGGACGAACATGGAAAATTGTCTAGATGAACAGTTCAAAGTGAAAATCCAAAGGAGATCATCTAGGGATGAATGGAATATTTTGTCTAAACGAATAGTTCAAAGTGAAAATCCAGAGGAGGTCATCTAAGGACGAATGGGATATTTCGTCTGGACAAACAGTTCAAAATGAAAAAATCTAGAGGACATCATCCAGGGACAAACATAGAAAATCGCCTGGACAAATAGTTCAAAGTAAGGGTCCAGATGATATCGTCCAAGGATGAACATGGAAAATCGTCTGGACGATTAGGACTTAGAAAAAATTTTCTCACCCTCTTCATTTTATTGCTCTCCGAGGAGTATAACTGAGTTGATCATCCCGTACGAACATAGTTCGTCATGTACGATCAGTATATTAAAATTGTGAATTTTTAAACTCTCCCCCGGTGTATGTGCTAAGTCACTTAATTACAATTACACTCTCTCAGACTCAAATGAAAGAAAAATATAGACTCCAAGTTATAAAATATTATAAGCAAATCTTGATTTGAAGTCTTCAATAATCTATAGTATGATTTCTCTAAAATATTAGTACACACAAGAGCCAAAAACAATTCCTTCCAAAATGGGTTAGGAGAAAATCATAATCAAAACAATAATATTTGGAATCATCAAAACATACAAGTTGCAAGAATGTAAAGCATGCAAAGCTAAGTAGCAACTCTCTCAACAAACTCCCTCTTTTTGATTATGACAAAACAATTATTGTTTGTATAATTTTCAAATTCCTAAGTTTCTCCTAAACTCCCCCTGAATAAATAAGCGTGTGAGAATAAGGGGCATTTTTGTTTGAATTAATTCCAATTTTTTAATTTTAAAATTTATACACACACAAAACACACAACAACAAAAATAAAAATACGAACACAAAAACACTAACAGCATGTCTAAACACTTAAAACTAAAAATAAAAATACGAACACAAAAACACTAACAACATGTCAAAACACTTCAAACTAAAAATACTTCAAACAATATTTCGCCCCCATTTTGACAACAGTAAAAAGAGAATAAGAGACAAATCAAACCAATCTAAAAATGTAAGAAGTCATATGAAAAGCCTTTGATAATCGATCCTTTAAAGAGATTGAGTTATTTGCTAATTAAAATTAAATTTCATTAGATAAATAGAAAGATTCATATGTATAGATATAACATAGACAAGAAAAAAAAATATCAAAATCATAAATAAGTTTAGACAATGAGATAAGCAAAATCATTGCAAAACAGACACCTAAAGGTCCAACAAAAAACCCCGTTTATATCGATAGCTACCAATTTTTTAAGAAATTTCAACATTGTCTAAAAATTATTAAAACATAAGGTAGCTAAACATAACACTATAAATGTTCTGGTGAAGACGGTTTATGATTTGGACTTATAATTACTCCTGAAATAATTATTGACTACTCTAGGTTAAAAAATTTTTAAAAAAAAATTAAGAGTTTCAAAATCTACCCACTTTAAGAAAAATATTATCATCGTCATTTTCAAAATAGAATTAGTCAGAATAAACCTAGATACAACTGTCTCATATCATATCTTTTCTCCCGAGTAGCCTCTCTAGCGATTATGTGCTTCTACTGCACCTTTACCATAAGAATCTATGACAAAATACTTTCAAGTTCTTTCCTATACTATAGAATTGCACGAACCTCAACATCTTCAATAGATAATCTCATCTCATAATCAGACACCCACTTTCTTAAAGAAGATACTTAAAACACACTGTATATATCAGACATATGATCAGGTAATAATAATATATAAGCAGAACTACCAATCCACTTAATGATCTCAAAAATTCTAATATACTTTGGATTGAGTTTGCTAATTCTCCCATATCTACTGACTCCTTTCATATGGTTGACTTTGACATAAACTAGGTCACCAATCTAAAACTCAACTAACCAGTGTTTTAATGTAGTATTACTTCTCTATATCATGTGTAGATTTCAATCTTCCTCTAATCAAATTGATCTTTGTAATAGTATCATCCACAAACGCTGAGCCTATCACCTGTATATATCCCACCTCTGTCAAAGTAAAAGAGTCATATATTTTCTACCGTATAGAGCTTTATAAGGAACCATACTTATGTTAGAATGATAACTATTATTATATATAAACTCTATTAACAGCATATGATCCTTCCAACTACCTCCAAAATCTAAAACACACAGTTTCAAAAGATCCTCCAATACCTGAATAGTCCTTTCACAGACTTTCCATCTGCCTTCGAATGAAAATTCATACTGAAGTGTAACTTTATACCCAGTCCCTGCTAAATACCTATTCATAATCTAGAGATAAACAAGTCATCCTGATCAGATACAATCACCTTCAGCACACCATGCAACCTAATAATATCTTTAACATAGATCTATACTAACCTGTCCATTAGATCTACCTATCAAATCAAAATGAAGTGGGTAGATTTTACCATTTGATCGATAAAAACAAAAAAAA